GGTATTCAGCGACGAATCTTGATGGTCGTACTTTTTATCATGATACTTGTCATGATGTTTTGTCACTCTCTGGCACGGATGGCGGTGATACAGGGAATTTCTTACAGACGGGTCCTCCAATTCTGTCTGACTTTTTATCGAAGTCGTCTCTTGCAGCCATTGATGAACAGACATCTAACGACAGGGCAGAGTTGACATCGGCGACGTTATTTCCTCAAAGGTATGGGTTCGCTTTGACTTCGATGAGACTGTCCTTTGTCACTGTGACGCTTTTACTGAGGGTCGAATTTGTCGAACTCGAACCCAATCATGTCACGATTACCTCATTTCTGCCTGTTCGCGACTCATAACCAACATATCTGGAGATCGATGCCATATTCGCATCTCCGGAAAGCGATAGGTGGCCAACAGCTGGGTACTACGGTATAAATTATACACTGATTGACTTTGGAAATTCACTCTGATTATGCACCACGATCACGTCAATTCTTTAAATTGTCGATTCTTTGGCTTTCGGCGCAAAGATAAGCTGACGGTTGATATTAAGCATAATTGTGTTGCGTAATACTAAATGTTTCAGCCTCAGAACGGCGGTAAATGATGCCTAAGCAATAAGAATTACAGTAATATAAGCGGGGTCAAGAAGCTTTCATTAGTGGATGCTGTAGATATCAACCTATGGAGATGTCGAATGCACTTGTGTAGTTATCACGCAGCCTATTCTTACTAGTTTGAATGTAGAACGATTCTTTGATCAAAAATTTGACTTTATTATTTCATTGTCGACAACAGAAACATTGTCTTCTACTTGATAAAGATTATGTTCTAAAATGAAAGCAATAAAGCCGGTGTTCTGGGCGAGGCATAATTATTGAGAACAAATACTGCTGAAGACTTAACTTTCCGTCAGCTCCTGTGATAGGAGAATCTTTTTGCTTGATGTATTTGCATTAAAGACACAAAAATAAGTTAGTCATTGGTTTGAAGACTCGTTAGTCAGCTTGATTATACTTTATAACAGGAATTCAAGGCTATTGCTGCAACACTGTGGAGCATACAACGTCTTTCTTGTGTCTGACGTATGTGGCAGACTTTAACCTTTATCGATCAGCCATCACATGAGCAGTGTGTCTGCAGGTTATTGATCTGACAACATACGCTCATTCATCGCTACAGATATATGCATCGTGACATTTAGGGGAAGACAAAAGACTTATCTTCTTTCTTTAGATAAATGCAGCTGCACTTTCCGGGATCTGTGATTAAGACATATTGGGATTCAGTTAGATCTCTGTTGTGCTCATAAAAATTGACAGATTATTTGGAAGGTGATTTAATAGTTTGTATAATGTATTCATATATTTGCATACATACCCATGCGTCTAGTCTTAAAAGTGCACACCCTTTAAACAATACGCTATGATTATGATCTTTCTTGAAGTAAATTTAATCTCTGGTGACAGAAATGACTTAATTCTCCAGCTATTATCTTCTCCCGCTGCTGTGCTGACTGTATTGGAGCGATGTTGCTACAGTGAGAAAGCCGTAATGAGGTTCTCTCCTCAGATCAGTTGCAGCGAATCTCTTTGCGTATACAACGAGTTTATGCCTCAGTTTGAGGCTCAGCAACAGGGTCTGTTCTGAAGCATTGATTGCTTCGAATTTCCCCTTTAGCAAGGTATGTCAGTTCACACTTGTCAGCTAAATTATGAAGCCGTCTATACAGATTAAACAGACCCAACTGTCAGCAGATTTTGATTACATTTTTTTAGGTTAATCGATGCTCTGAAAAATGTAGTCAGTCGTCTGCAAAGTGACATATTTTTAAGAAAAGTGGAGAAACTATTGAAGAACGTGAAAGAATTAACCAATCTGACATTTCACTTACCGTCGTGCTCACAAAATGTACAACAGCCTCTACGAGAAGTCGTTAAAGGCTTTCAGAGCAACCACAGGTTAAACGGTACTCAGTCACATGGAAAGTCATGGGGTTTTCGAATTGGCAGAGATTCAAATTATTTACAAATACTCTTACAAAATTTTGAAGAGGTAAGTTGGATCTTTGGGTATTTATTTCAAATGTTTTGAGTCATATTTCAGAAAGCTTCGATGCAGCAGATTCGAAATACAACGCCTTACCTAACACCGTATGAAGCACAGCAGCTTCATTTTTGCCAAGATATTTTATGGCAAGTTGAGCATCCAGAAGAGAAAAATTACTCAGCGCACATGACCGAAGATATCTGCAGACTACTGGTTTCCAAACTGATGCCCACTGATTGCAACGAAACTTATGATGGCTCAAAAAACTCAGAGTTGGATATCATAGTAACTGATACAGAATTTGATTTCAGATT